ATTTTATGCAGATTTTGCGCTGACCCTTTTTGACCCTTTGAGCAAATATTAGTGGCAGACCCCAAAGCCAGTTTTGAAGTGCAGGGAACAGTTATCAGATTTGACAAGTCAGCTGTGTTACAGGTAGTCATTTTATTGATTCTGACACTAGTCAAAACAGGTATGCTGTGGACATCAAAAGTGCCTAGTGATGTGGCAGTACAGCCTCCCAGCCACTGGGAGGAGCTATTGTGGTTAGTAGGTGAGGAATAGGTTTGCTGGTGAATAGAAGAGGTGAACAAGAGTGGACATGCATCGGAGGATAGTCAGGGCAAAGTTGAGGTCCAGATATTGTAAAACAGATTGTTTTCTACAGGTCAGTAGTGCTCTGTAGGCCAGTAGTGGTCTACAAGTCAGTGGTGGTCTACAGGTCAGTGGTGGTCTATAGGTAGGCAGTGCTCTGCAGGTCTACCGGTGTTCTACAGGTCAGTGGTGGTCTATAGGTAGGCAGTGCTCTGCAGGTCTACTGGTGTTCTACAGGTCAGTGGTGGTCTGCAGGTCAGAAGGGCTCTTCAGGTCAGTAGTGTTCTGCATGGTCATTAGTGGTCTACAGGTCAGTAGTAGTCTGCAGGTTAGTAGTAGTCTGCAGGTTAGTAGTGATCTACAGGTCAGCAGTGGTCTACAGGTCAGTAGTAGTCTGCAGGTTAGTAGTAGTCTGCAGGTTAGTAGTGGTCTACAGGTCAGCAGTGGTCTACAGGTCAGTAGAGGTCTGCAGGTCAGTAGAGGTCTGCAGGTCAGTAGTGGTTTACAAACCAGTGGTAGTCTACATGTCTGTAGTGCTCTGCAGGTCAGTAGTGGTCTGCATTTGCTTTTTAATATTTGACCAACTGAACTTTCTCCATTTATTGGCTGTAATAAATCGAATAAATGTCTAGATGTTTACTAAATGTAGGGTAGGCTATACATGAGCATATACCCACAGGAAAATATAAAATGAAAGCAATAATACATACATACATACATCAATGCATATAGTTATTATTACTCCAACTATTTTATTTCTTCCACCATCAGGTTATTAAATTCAGACAGTAGCCACTTTAAATAGGATACTTATCAATGGCTTACGTATGTATGTTTGTATTCAAGACAAACTACAGAGCAAAATCACACTCTGACTGGCCTAATCTATAGTGCAGTAACAGCAACAAGTGTAATTAAATAGCATTCTTTAGACCTGCAACCTATCTAATAGAGAGAGGAATTAGATATGGTAATACTTTTTATGGTATGGTATCCAGAGATGGGGACTCGAGTTAGAGACTCGGACTCGAGTGCGACATAAGTTGCACACACAGTGATTTCAGACTGGACTTGAGACTCGTCCTCAAAAGACTTCAGACTCGACTCGGACTCGAGGTGCAGGACTCGTGAACAATGTTTATTTTTAGGAAACTTCTGATGAGCTTGCCGTTATTCCCCTCCCTCCGTTACCTATAACCCGCTACCTAACACGTAGCATCTGCTGCGCTTGGCCGCATGTGAGAGAGGACAACAAACTCTGGCAGCTGCTGATCCATTCATCATAAACTTTGGCTTTAAAACTTCATAAAACAAGACCCAAACAAAGACGCGCTGAATGCAAATAGGTTAGTAACCTGTGGTGAGTAAATATGTTTAGCTCAGCATTGGCCATCTAATGTTAGCTTGCTTCTTGCTTCAGCTACGACCTACGGGAGGTTTACTCTGACTGTCGTTTGTTATGAAAAGATGAATGAGTGTTTGTTCACTTGCCAAACTTGTGGTGGTCGATTAACGTAATCATTACGTCCCGCTGGCTGCCATCATGTTAATTATTGCCGTTGGCTGGAAAGAAGTTACAGGTTTATTGTTGATCATGTAACATTACAGTTTTATTTAGTTATAACGTTACACTGGTTTAAGAGTCTGGTGGTGTGTTGACTTAGAGTAGTTTAAGTGGTCATTGGTTGCATTGCACATTATGGTTGTGCTCTGTAAGTTAAAAACAGGTTACAGCTTTATTGTTGACCATGTAACTTTACAGTTTTATTTAGTTATAACTTTACACTGAGTTTGAAAATCAAAAGAGTTTGTTGACTTACAGTAGTTTACAGTGGGTACGGAAAGTATTCAGACCCCTTTAAATTTTTCACTCTTTGTTTCATTGCAGCCATTTTCCAAAAATCAAAAAGTTCATTTTATTTCTCAGTAATGTACACTCAGCACCCCATCTTGACAGAAAAAAACAGAAATGTAGAAATTTTTGCAAATGTATTAAAAAAGAAAAACTGAAATATCACATGGTCATAAGTATTCAGACCCTTTGCTCAGTATTTAGTAGAAGCACCCTTTTGATCTAATACAGCCATGAGTCTTTTTGGGACAGATGCAACAAGTTTTTCACATCTGGATTTGGGTATCCTCTGCCATTCCTCCTTGCAGATCCTCTCCAGTTCTGTCAGGTTGGATGGTAAACGTTGGTGGACAGCCATTTTCAGGTCTCTCCAGAGATGCTCAATTGGGTTTAAGTCAGGGCTCTGGCTGGGCCATTCAAGAACAGCCACGGAGTTGTTGTGAAGCCACTCCTTTGTTATTTTAGCGGTGTGCTTAGGGTCATTGTCTTGTTGGAAGGTAAACCTTCGGCCCAGTCTGAGGTCCAGAGCACTCTGGAAAAGGTTTTCGTCCAGGATATCCCTGTACTTGGCCGCATTCATCTTTCCCTCGATTGCAACCAGTCGTCCTGTCCCTGCAGCTGAAAAACACCCCCACAGCATGATGCTGCCACCACCATGCTTCACTGTTGAGACTGTATTGGACAGGTGATGAGCAGTGCCTGGTTTTCTCCACACATACCGCTTAGAATTAAGGCCAAAAAGTTCTATCTTGGTCTCATCAGACCAGAGGATCTTATTTATCACCATCTTGGAGTCCTTCAGGTGTTTTTTAGCAAACTCCATGCGGGCTTTCATGTGTCTTGCACTGAGGAGAGGCTTCCGCCGGGCCACTCTGCCATAAAGCCCCGACTGGTGGATTGCTGCAGTGATGGTTGACTTACTACAACTTTCTCCCATCTCCCGACTGCATCTCTGGAGCTCAGCCACAGTGACCTTTGGGTTCTTCTTTACCTCTCTCACCAAGGCTCTTCTTCCCCGATAGCTCAGTTTGGCCGGACGGCCAGCTCTAGGAAGGGTTCTGGTCGTCCCAAACGTCTTCCATTTGAGGATTATGGAGACCACTGTGCTCTTAGGAACCTTAAGTACAGCAGAAATTTTTTTGTAACCTTGGCCAGATCTGTGCCTTGCCACAATTCTGTCTCTGAGCTCTTCAGGCAGTTCCTTTGACCTCATGATTCTCATTTGCTCTGACATGCACTGTGAGCTGTAAGGTCTTATATAGACAGGTGTGTGGCTTTCCTAATCAAGTCCAATCAGTATAATCAAACACAGCTGGACTCAAATGAAGGTGTAGAACCATCTCAAGGATGATCAGAAGAAATAGACAGCACCTGAGTTAAATATGAGTGTCACGGCAAAGGGTCTGAATACTTATGACCATGTGATATTTCAGTTTTTCTTTTTTAATACATTTGCAAAAATTTCTACATTTCTGTTTTTTTCTGTCAAGATGGGGTGCTGAGTGTACATTACTGAGAAATAAAATGAACTTTTTTGATTTTTGGAAAATGGCTGCAATGAAACAAAGAGTGAAAAATTTAAAGGGGTCTGAATACTTTCCGTACCCACTGTATATGTTGTCATTAATTGTAGACACATTGCACATTATGGTTGTGCTCTGTAAGTTAAAAACGGGTTACAGCTTTATTGTTGATTATGTAACGTCACAATTTTATTTAGTTAACGTTACACTGGGTTTAAGAGTCTGGGGAATGTCTTGACTTACAGTATTTAATAAACCATCAATAATTGCATTGCACATTACATGGTTGTGCTCTGTAAATGAAAAACATGTTACAGTTACAGAATTCCTTGTAGCTATGCAGTTTTATTACCAACCTGGATTGAACGCAGCAGGTGATACAACATTCGTAATAACAACGGGAGACTTGAGACTTGACTTGGACTCTAGCTCAAAGACTTGTGAGCATCTTTGGGTATCACACATTTACATGAGCAGATGGATAACATTTAAGTCACAGCCTACAAGAACTCAGTCTGGCCTAAGTAAATTCAGCTTTGGTGTGTCTAAAATCTACATTACAGTAACTTTTGTTCAACAGAGGAGAAATGGAAGAAGAGGATATTGCACTATTTACCTGTTAACATATTGGCTTTACTGGTTTTTGACATAAGTGTAGTTCTAATACAGTAACAAAAGATGTGAGTGCAAAGATTTTGCAAGTGCGCATACCCTGGAGGATAAGCCTCCCCCGTCTTTCAATCCTAGTAACGTCTCTGGTATCAACTGAAACGTAATACAACTCTTCACATACTGACTCATAAATGTGAAACACTGAATTTTGGCTCACATTGTAACTATTTATTGTCTCTCGTTTTGTTATTCCTAACTTTATCTTTTTATCTTCTTCTACTATAAAATTGATTCAAAACTCTTCAAACACAGAGACTCTGTCCTGAAGCTGAATGATGTTTGTGCTGTTTTGAGTCTGCAGCTGCAGTTTTATTTATTTTTAGTTATCTGACGAGACGTCTATCTAGCCACAGCAAGACCAAAACACGTCACATTTTCCATCCAACAGCTTTGTGAAACCAAAAGAACCACAGGAGAAAAACAAGAACGAGACCAAAGTTGGTCCTGTAGAGAAACAAGTTGCTGCTGCAACAAGAAACAAAAAACACTAATAAGATATAAATAAAAGCAAAGTTAGTTATTACATTACCCCCAAAACAACTGGAGGTTATTTTTAGATTCTGTTCAGTAGAAATATATGAATGACAGTACAACAAGTAGGTCAACAGGTAACATGTTGGTGCTGTGCAACATACTGAAACACACAGGGTAAAAAATTAGTGACTTAGAAATAGATTTTAACAATTTATTTGCTAATTTAGCTTTAAGACGGAAATCTAATAAATGGATGTGCTGAGGTGTGAGGGGCTCTGGGGACCAGTTCCAGGCCAGCAGGACATCAGTGGTTGGACTGGTGTGAAGGTGTGAAGGTCTACCTCAGTGAAGAGTAGACGACCTCTGGCTCTGCTGGAAACTCTGAACACACAAACACAAACAGTTCAAACAACATGAGAAACTGTTGGAGACAAAGAAACTCCGTCACCAGACCACAACTCTGCTTCACTCAGTTCTCAGGAACCAACAAGAGTTTCAAACTAGAGATTCACTGAATCAGGTCGCACCAGTAAAACTTAAGAAATGTCTCAAAGACTTTAGTGTCTAAGTAAGCTGTAATATGACCTCCAAAATTAAATGTTCACACTTGTAGGTTTATTTTCAGTGGGAAATATCAGATTAAGCCAAACACTAACAGTGCTTGCTCATTTTGTGTTTATTATCACCATGTTTTGTAAACCCCATATCCAGAAAAGTTGGTATATTTTCCAAAATTCAATAAAAGCAAAAGTCTGAGATTTGTTAATTCACATTTATTTAACTGACAAAAGTACAAAGAAAATATTTTCAACAGTTTTAATGATCAGCGTAATTCTGTTTTGTAAATATAAACGAAGTTAGAATTTAATGCCTGCAACACACTTAACAAAAATTGCACAGAATATTCAAGCAACACAAGTTTGAAAGGCTCAACAATAAGCAGGCTAACTGGTAACAGGTGAGATGTCATGATTGGATATAAAAATGTAGCATCCAAAGGCTCAGTCTTAGTAAGTAAGGATGGGTCATGGCTCACCCCTTAATATTCATGATAACATTGTTAGTCAGTTCAAAGGGAACATTTCTCACTAGTCTTTCAACATCAACAGTACATAATGATAGTAATTTAAATTTCGAGCAGCACACCACAAAGCTTGTTCAATCATGTTTTTATCAACTTAGAAATATAGCAATAATTCGATCTATGTTAACTTTTAAGGACACCAAGACCATTTAACACGCCTTCATCTCATCACGCCTGGATTATTGCAACAGCCTTTTCACCTGTTTAACCCAAAAATCTATTGATCGACTCCAGACTGTCCAGAACTCAGCTGCCAGGCTTTTAACCAGAACAAAGAAATATGACCACATTACTCCTATTTTAGCTTCATTACACTGGCTCCCAGTATGTTTTAGAATTGACTTTAAAATTCTATTGATCACTTTTAAAGCTCTTCATGGCCTCTCGCCTTGTTATATTTCTGACCTTTTAGTCCCATACGCACCAGCACGTACCTTGAGATCCTCGGGCAGAGGTCTGTTGTCTGTTCCAGAGTCTCGACTGAAAACTAAAGGGGACAGAGCGTTTGCTGTCAGGGCCCCGAGGCTCTGGAACAGCCTGCCCGAGGAAATCAGGTCGGCTGAGTCAGTGAACTCTTTTAAGTCCTGTCATGAGTTGTAGTTTTTGCCATTTGTTTCTGGTGTCCTTCTGTTTACCTGTTCTTCTTGTTTCCTTGTCCTTAGTGTTTATGTCTTGTCTGGTGTTCTAGCTCGTAGTCCTGTGTTGTTTTGATATTGGTTTGGTAGTCTACTTGTTATATGGTTTCTTAATCACTGCCTTAACTCTTGTTCCTGCGTTTTAGTTCTTTGTCCTTGTTCCCAGTCCTGTACCTTAGTTCATGTTAAGTGTTCACTCTGGTCTGTTTTGTGTTCAGTAACCTGTGTTCCGTCTGTTCCCCCGGTTGTCACTCTGCCTGCATGTCAGTCTCTCTGTTCACTGTCTCTCGCTTCTTCTTCTTCGTCTTCTTCTTTAATGGCGGATTGCAAACAACTTTTAAGTGCATACCGCCACCTACTGTACTGGAGTGTGTAACATCATATCACTCCCACTGTCTCTCTCTGCCTGCCTCGTTAATCTCATGTCCTTCACCTGTGTTGCTCGTTAGTCCCTGTGTATATATGCCTGGTGTTTCTGTCTTGTCTTTGTCGGGTCATTGTATGCTGTCTCCTGTTGTCTGCCTGTTTGTCTCGTCTCCCGGTCGTGTTACGCTGCTCCCTTTGGATCTCTGTTTAGACCAGCTTAGTTTTTGGACTCTGTATTCAGCCACTCACCTGTAAGTGTGCTCGCTTTTGGTTCGTTCATTAAAACCCCTTTGTACTATACCTCTTCCTGCCTTGCGTCCTGCGTTTGGGTCCTCCAACCTGCCTCACCCACACCAAAACGTGACAAGTCCCTTCTTAAAACATATTTTTATAGGAGAGCCTTTCCCGATCCTATTTGACTTTATTTTATCCCTTTTATTTTATTCTATTTTAAATGTGTATTTTAGTCTTTTCAATGTTTTCATGCTTTTATCTTGTATTGTTTTTGTATTATTATCTTTTGGGTATTATTGTCTTTACACTTGTTAAAGAACTTTGTAACTTGTTAAAGTGCTCTACAAATAAATTATTATAATAATGTTGTGAAAAGATTCAGGATTCAATTTGGAGACTCTCAGTACGTAAAGAGAATGGTCGGAAACCCCTGTTGAATGTGTATGATCTTCGAGCCTTTAAATTTTAGAATATGTTGTTCTTAACATTCTACAAATTCAAACTCTACAAACAAATTTCTCACCAGTAATAGCTGTCAGTGTATAGTATGTTTCCATGGTGATTGACAAGACCACCTGCTAATAGATATGTAAACGACCCTCCTGAGCCTTGTCTTGACTTGTCTAGAGATCCTCATGTTTAGACCTTCCCATTGCCCACATCTCTTTAAAGTAATAGTTCAACTCTTTAGGAAATATTCTTTCTCTCTGGGACATGAGGAGATTGATCTGGAGTCAGGTTGTGGTTAGCTTAGCTTAGCATAAAGACTGGAAGCAGGGGGAAACTAGTCTGACTCTACCCAAAGTTTGTAAGTAAAGAGCAGCTGTACCTCTTGTCCTGTGTGGTCTGATGTGGCCTCTCACAGCTGAGCAAACTGCAGCTGGATCACTCTCTGGAAAACAAAATGCATACTAATTACATTATTGCGAGTACCACTGCTGATACCAGTATTGTTAGTATATTTACTGTTGCTACTACCACTGGGATATTTATTGCTGTTTGCACTTCTACAAGTTCTGCAACACATCTAATAATACTACTGCTGTAGAAATAATTTCAGCAGTTAGTAAGTTCTGTTGCAAATGTCAGCAGATTTGACCTTTTTGTTTTTCTAAATGCCACTGCTGTGAAAAGTGAAAGCCCAAGTATGGCTGGAGGGTAGTTATCTGTATATAGACGACCACAAAGCTCTTCGCTTCTCTGAAAAGAAGTTCAAACATTTAAGCACAAGGAACAAAACAAAAAGACACATCATCATCAGCTAAAGCAGAGCACACTGTAGTGAGAAACCACTAGAATCAGGCCACAGTTCACTGGAGTCAAGAGGAGGAAGTTGCTGCTGTGGCTTGATTTGCAGAATGGAAAAAAAGATGACGCACAATCTTTTGTGTTCCATCATTTCTTTGATGTAAAATCACTTAAGAACTTAATGTTATAATTATTTACATTAAAACAAACAGATCAATGATAATGTTTGAGTAAAAGTTAAAATGAAACATTTTCCACATGTTGTTTGTGAGCAGAATACACAGAGAAATGTAAATCTACACATTTAAGTAATTTATGTTAATTTTATTTTTTAAATGAACAGTCCTGCAGTGAAACATGTGCAGAGCCACATTCAGAGAAATTCACTTAGTATTTTTGTTTACTATTGAGTTAGTTTTCACCAGGTGAAGTGGGTGCTGTGCTCTTTGTGTTCTTTTTGTAGCAAGAATTAACTCTGCTTAAATATATAGATAGGTACAGGCCTCCTTTTGAGGACCTTTTTATTTTAACTTGGTTTGTTATTTTTGCAGCACCCTCATCCACCCTCCTTTTGTTTGTTGTTACCTGTCTGCATCTCCGGGTTACCAATAAAAGTTACCTTGTTAAGATCTATACCAGTTGTGCCTATATGTTTATGGCCCCCACACCCCTAGACCAACAGGGGGTTGTAACAATCAGAACAAATCAAATATCAATGCAATTTGAACAGGTCTGTTATAGGTGTGTGTTAGTGTACGTACGACCTTAAGTAATTATGTCAAATCTGATAATTAATATTAGAATGTAATTTCTGACTAAAGCTCATTAAATTACCAAAATGTCTTTGTTTGCACTTCTGATCCTCACTGACATAATTTATTCTCCAGTCCCATATTTCATAATGTCCTAACATTTTTAGTTCCATAAAAATCCTGTATGTAGGAAATTGTTCTTTAAAATACACTACTTGACCTTTTCCTTAAAAAAAAACAACCACAGCTTTTGTAGGAGTGCACTGATTGCAAAGCCTACTCAAGATTACAGACATCATAGAGCATAAATATTTTTCTTTCATATTAGACTATATAGTTATTTAATGGAAATGTACAATATGTCTCAGAGTTACACAGAGTTGTGTAATTATTTTTTAACCATACTATTTTAGAAAAATGGTTTCAAAACATGCAAATAAAACTGCAATACTCTCTGTTACTGTGTTTAATATGTCAACAAGTAGCATGGCTCCACCAAGAGAGAGTGAGTATTAGAGGGAGAGAGTAGTGCATTTACATAAGTTACAGTAACACTGTCACAAACATTGCAAATTAAGAATGCAATATTTAAGCCAAAACAACCAAGCAGAGAACAAATGAGCCTACAGGGCCATAAGCAAACAGCAGTTAGCCCAACACCGCTGAGATCCTGCTATCAAAACAGAAAGAATGTCCACCAGTATATATGCCCTTCCTGGCTCCGTTCTTTTCATACAGCAGCGAGCTGGCATATTGGCATAATAATCTTGAATAATAAAAGCAGCATGAAAGCGGCTATATGACCAAAAACATCATGACAACAACCGCAATCCATAGCCTAGTATTAACCGATCCAGTACAACAATTTGGTCCATGCACGGAGCAGCAACACGGAGTCAGGATGATAAAAGATGTTTCCACAGCTAAGGGGTCACTTGAGGAGAAAGGCGGCGGCACGGCGGTTTTCTGCAGTTTTTCATAGTCTACCGACTCGTTGCGGCCCTGCAGTGCTGTTTATATTCGTGCAAAACGCCTATTCAAGGCATATCCAAAGTATATTGAATGTACTGTAGTTCTTGTACCATTATGTATATGCGTGGTTTTAGGCTTCACTAAAAGAGAACATTCTGGAGTGTCTAACCCAAAAGTCAGAATGATTGTAAGTGCTGCTGGAATTGGTTAATATAAGTTTAAACATACTAAAACTAATATATTTGCTGGAAAACACTGGGCCACAGGATAAAGCCTTACCTAGTCCTAGTTTAAATTTCAAACCAATACCATGAAAAATGACTATTTTACACAGGTTTTTGTGCATATTTTTCAGGCATGTGATTGGCAAAGGGCAAAAGAGCAGGAAAATATACTGCGACCCCCCCGACACACCCTAAACTGGCGGTGGCTCTATTCAACACATTCTCATCTAAATGCGTCATAACTGATGCTTTCAAACAGCGTAAGTATTTTACGCCCCCGTTTGCTACATTGCAGCAACACAAGGGAGGCTAACCCTACCTGAGGCCGATGTGCGCAGCTGTAGGGTTAGCCGGTCGACATACATAAATTCAGTGACTTAGGTTTAGGTACTAACATTTCTGATGGTTGTGGTAAGGGTAGGGCCTTCGGGGGGCTGTCAACCACTTTATCACAAACGTAGTTAGCTAGCACTGTACGTGATGCCCCAGAGTGCTTAAGGGTACCTTTAGCGTCAAATAACTACACTTTGTCACTCTTTCTCAAATCGTCGGTAAATGACACCCTGAGATGAGAACGGGCTCCTCTATTATAACATGGATGGTAAAGCCGGACCCATTATAATAACTTATTTGGTGGATGTGTTGCAGTGGGAATCAAAAACAAGGGTCTAATCCACTGCGCCATCGCAACCTCTATAATAATTATTATTTTGTATTAATTTTTTACCAAACTTCAACAGCTAAATGTGCAACATGCAACATGTGAAACAATTGAGTCTATTCAAATTAGTTCACTAGAAGTTAATAGGTTATTTTTAAATAATAAGAGACAGCAGCAAAGGTTGTGGGCTGTTTAAGACCTGGGGGCCTAACTGTTAAAGAAACAGTTTTTTAAAATTATGACATTTCAAATCTGGCAGCGGGCGGCTGAGTGAGACAAGAACAACCACGACAGTTTCACAGGATCACGCCAGTTACACAGAAGTCGTTGCTATGGTTACCTCGTGGAGCGCTTGTTTGCCTGTCTGTTGATGAGGAGCGCAGAGCAAAGCTTTATGAAAAGGCCTTTTTCTACGAATGTTGCCATTTCCATCAACCTTTTCTTATGCGATACTTCAAAATGTGCATTACAAAACACTGATGGAAAAATGGCTAATGAAGCTGACTCAGTATTATGTTAATATACAGGACAGCTTGCAGTACATCCAACTGTCCACAAGATGTTACTGCTGTTAACATTATCATCTCATCCACAAAAGATCACAGTGATACCAAATAGTAGTTAAACTTGTTGCTGCTGTTAACTTTATCATCTCATCCACAAAAGATCACAGTGATACCAAATAGTAGTTAAACTTGTTGCTGCTGTTAACTTTATCATCTCATCCACAAAAGATCACAGTGATACCAAATAGTAATTAAACACAACATTCAGCAAACATAGAAAGAGTTTTAA